ACTTGGGATCAACTTCATGGTGAATTTCTCAAAAGATTTTTCCCGCCATCTAAAACGGAAAAAATCCGAAGAATGATTCAAAATTTCACGCGAAATCCCAATGAGCCCCTCTATGAGGCTTGTGAAAGATTCAAAGATCTTCAGCGACAGTGTCCACATCATAACATCCAAAACTGGCACTTGATGACAGCTTTCTATGAAGGCCTAAGTGAAAATTCTCAGATACTTGTCGACGCGCCAGCAAATGGATCATTCATGTGCGTGGAACTTGAAGAGGCAGAAGAATTAATGGAATGCATATCATCAAACGGATCAACATGGTATTCTGAGCGATCATCTGCTCCACCAAAAATTGGAGGCATGTACGAAGTTGATCAAATGTCGACCATAACGACAAAGGTTGATAACATGATGACTTTGATCCAAAAGATGGCACAAGTCTTTCTTGTGCAAAACTCTACATCAACTCCAACTCTTGTTCCCGTTCTTATGTGTGAATCTTGCGGTGGACAACAGAATCAGTCTACTTGTCCATGGGAAGCAATGGAACAAGTTGACTATGTTAACTACAACAGACAACCCCAACAAAATCAGTTTGGTAATTTCAATCCTCAAGGAAGAAATCATCCCAGTTTTTCCTGGAGCAATCAAAATGGAGCTGCTAATCCACAACAATCTTACCAGAGTGCACCACCCGGTTTCCAAAATCAGCAACAACAATTCAGAGGTGGCAAGGGTATTGTGAACCAACAACAATATAAACCTACTCAAAATCTTCCATACCCTTCAAATCAACAACAAAAACCACTTCTACCCACTCCTGAAACAACCCAAACTCCCATCCTAGAAAACATTGTTGACCAACTTCTCAAGTCCCAATTATCTCAAGCTGAAACTCTGAAACAAATCACTGAAGAACTTGGTCAACTTCGAGCTCACAACAAGATGCTTGAGAATCAAAGTGCTAATCAAGCATCTACATCATCAATTAAGGTGACGGGTAAGCTGCCTGCTTGTCCTGAAAACCCGAGGGAGCAAATGAATGCCGTCATTACTGAGAGTGGGCAACAACATCAATCCTTTCCCCTTTCTAGTGATGAACAAGAACATGAAGTGTTGATGGAAAGGGCCGAGCAACAACAGAAAGGTGGAAACAACAACAATGAACTTGATGTCGGTACCATGCCGAAATCATCTGATGACCGTGAAGGGTCTAATAAACAAAGAGAAAGTCCGGTAAGGAAATACATTCCCCCAGTTCCTTATCCGAACAGATTGAAGAAAGCTAATATGGAGGAGCGGAGAACTAAATTTTTGAATGTTATCAAGCAATTGGATATCTCAATTCCTTTGCTCGATGCCATTACAGAAATTCCTTCATATGCTAAATTTCTCAAAGATATTCTCACAAAGAAGAAGGAGAATCCAGCCACTGTTGCAATGAGTCAAGAATGCAGTGCCATCATCCAAAATAAGATCACACCCAAGTTACGTGATCCTGGAAGCTTCTCAATTCCATGAACCATTGGTGGATCCAAAGTTAACAAAGTTCTTTGTGATCTTGGTGCAAGTGTTAGCTTAATTCCTTATTCACTGTGTCAAAAGCTACACTTGGGGGATCCCAAACCAACAACAATGGCATTACAATTGGCTGATCGATCTGTCAAATATCCTATCGGCATTCTTGAAAATGTTCCTATCAAAATTGAAAAGTGTTATATCCCAGAAGACTTTGTTGTCTTGGATATGGAAGAAGATGCCCGAGTTCCTGTTATTCTCGGGAGACCTTTTCTAGCTATGACAGGAGCAATTATAAACGTCAAAAAGGGTACCCTTATCCTCGAGATTGAGGATGATAAGATCGAATTCAATGTAAAAGAGCTGAGTAAGGATACACCTTGTGTCCTTGATGGTTACTATGCTGATGTTATAGACTCTTGTACTACTAATACATTTGATGAGTCGTATCGGCTTTCTAAAGATCCCATGGAGTACACCATACAAGAATCTATTGCAGATGAGCAAGCCAATGAAATGGTGAATTTATGTCTCGAAATGTTGCAAAGCATATTTTTACCAATGCCTAAAGCACTTAAATTTGAAGTGCTTAATCTTGAAGATCAATCCTTGAATATCAAAGGAAAAGCACCCAAAGTGAGAGACAAGAGGCAACTTCTGTGTATTGTCTCACTGATCCAGAATATGAATGAAAGGCATGGGCCAAGCTAATGAGCGTAAACGAGCGCTTCTTGGGAGGCAACCCAAGTTTGTAAATTTCTCAAAAAAAAAAACACAAAAATTAAAAAAACAATTAAAAAGAAAGACAAAAAAAAATTAGTCTAGGTTTTCTTTATTTCTTTTGACTCCAAAAGGGCCACATCCGCTCAAAGGGATCTCCAAACGTCATGCGGATAAACAATTCCAGATTCGGTCGCGCTTCAGGGAAGTTTTCTTTACACTCCTTTAATTTCTTTTCCACTGAGGACAATGCAAATTTTAAGTGTGGGGGAGTGGGTAGTTCAACCCTGATTTCTTGTGTGAATATTTTTTTCCACTTGTGTGCTTGTGTGATTTTGTTTTATTTATTTTGTGTGTTTTGTTTGTGAATAAAGACCAGTCTTGTACAAAATGCAACAATAGACCAGCAATACATTAGTTTACACTTTTTGTTACTAGTTACCTCCATATCTTTTTAAATTATTCATTCACCACTTTTGACGAAATGTGGTATGAGTTTGAGAAGTGTCACTATAATTTTTTGAGAGTAACTTAGTATGAGCTCTGAACTTGATTTTTTTTTTGCTAACAATTTAACATTAAACACCTTAGATTTTATTTTTCCAATTTATTGGTTTAATAGTTGAATTAGTGAAAGTTTATGCAGTTTAAGATGTCCATACATTTATTCTCCTTGAAATTTTATTTGAACTTGACACATTAGAAATGATTTAGGCCATCTTTGTTTACCCATGAAGCCAAACACCATCCCTTTGTAAATAAATAACACCATCCCTAGTAACCCCGTTTAAGCCTTTTCAGTGTACAAGTGTAACATACCTTACTTCACTTGTTACTAATTCTTTTTGTAACCTTGTAAATACATAACCTTGTGAAACCCTACCCGAAGTTAATCTTTTTATAACCCTAGAGTAGTTTGTCTTGTTACTTAAGAGTGGATAAAAAATGGAGCATTTGACAAGTTTCGTATTAGTGAAGTACATATTTTTTTTTGTAAATTTTGGGGTTAGTTTTTTTATTGTAATGTTCAATGTGTGCCCTCTTTGAAAAAAATATCAAAAAAAAAAACAAAAAAAAATCAAAAAACAAAAAAATTAAAAAAAAGAGGCACATTAATTTCTTGTTGTAATTTCTTCTGTAAAACCCCATTTTTTTTCCTTTTCATGTTTATATTTCTCATTGTTTTGCATGCTCCAAGTTCTTGTAAATTCATGTGATTATCCGCTCAGTATAAGTGCAATCTAACTCTCTTTGTAAATTCCTACACCAACCCTTTCTTTTAAACTAGCCACGCTCGTTAACCTCGCCACAACCCTAATAAAAGTCCTTTGATCAATTTGTGTCATTTTTCGAATTAAGCTAATAGGAGAAACTTGTTCTGCATAAACCAGACTAATTTAGATCTATAGGTGTTTGGGGTTAAAAGTTTGATTTGAAAATCTTAGTAATAGGCAATAATACTCAGTTTACTCTCATCGCGTTATTTTGTGACATTTCAGGGTATTGGACCGTTTAGTGGATATTAGATGTGTATGTGTGATTTGTTTAGTTATGCTTGTAAATTTTACCAAATTGTGTACATTTTTGTGTTTGTTGTTTGTTTTGCTTGAGGACAAGCAAAAACCTAAGTATGGGGGATAAGAATGCTAACGTTGCTAGGTCGTCGCCCGGAAGCGGCGCGTCATCCCATTGCCCGAGGATGATGTCAAATATGCAAGGGCATGGTGGGATCCGAGGTGGGGCTAAGAGCATAAGGTGGAGTGCTAGATTGCGTTTTGGGACTTGGAATGTTGGGTCTCTTACAAGCAGATCTTCCGAGGTAGTCGAAGTTATGAGGATGAGGAATATCGGCATTATGTGTGTGAAAGAAACTAAATGGGTTGGAGCGAAAGCACATGAGGTTAATCACGGAGGTTTTAAGTTGTGGTATTCGGGGAGAGATAAGACCAGGAATGGGGTAGGCATTATTGTGGCACGTGACTATGTTGAGGATGTGGTAGAAGTCTTCAGGAAGAACGATCACATCATGAGCATTAAATTGGTGATAAGGGGTGAGATTTTGTCTGTGGTAAGTGCCTATGCACCACAAGTGGGATTGGATGCATCTACAACTCAACAGTTCTGGGAAGATCTTGAAGATGTGGTGCGATGAGTGCCAAGGGGAGAGAAGTTGGTCATAGGAGGCGACCTCAACGGGCATGTGGGCTCGACTCGTGATGGCTTTGAGAGTATTCATGACGGACATGGTTTTGGCACTAGAAATGAAGCGGGAAAGAACATTTTGGATTTTGCCTCGACGTATGAGTTGGCTGTAATGAACATTTGGTTTATGAAAAGAGACTCTCACCTTGTAACCTATAGAAGTGGAGCTAATAGTACCCAAATTGACTACTTCTTAGTACGGACTACTTGGAGAACTTGCTACACCGAGTGTAAGGTTATCCTAGGTGAGAGTGTTGTCACTCAGCATAGGATGCTTGTGCTTGACTTTCGAGGTAAGAACCATAGAAGACAAGTTAAGCAACGAGTGGAGCCAAAGATAAAGTGGTGGAGGCTTGAGAGGGATCTTCAACAAAGCTTTACACACAAAATGTTCGGTGAAGATGTATGGCGTATTGATAATGGAACACATGTGGAGGATGTGTGGTTATCAATAAAGCTGACCATTAACAAAGTAACAAAGGAGGTACTTGGAGAATCTAAAGGAGGTCTGCCACCCAAAAATGACACGTCTTGGTGGAATGATGAGGTGAAACAAGTGATGTACTCCTAATTTACCATATTTATGATCTTGTTTTGTCACACTTTTAATACTTTATTTCTCATTTTTAAATAAATAGGATTGATCTTTGTCATCTTGGACATTTTAAGGTATTGCACTTGTTTTGGTATATTTTTGAGTTTCAGGATAATTCGGGACGTATATTAATTTCTGAAAAGAAATAAATATTACTCCCAAGTGAAGACGGAAAAATCATCAAAGTGAAGCGAGTCCTTACTTTATCTCCGAAATATTTATACAGAGACCCGAAGTTCATTTCAGAATAAACCAGACTGTCTACAATAAAATGTACCGGTTAACTATTTGACCAGTTAACTGATCAAACAGCTAACCGGCCAAAATAATCAAGTGGCGGAAGTGGAGCCAAAACTTGGATGACAAAATTATTCACACATTTGTGAATAATGAAGGCTGCCACGTATGAACAGCTCTCAACAAGAAGGAAAGAAATAAACCCATGTATTGAATTATTGGAGAGGGCCTACGAACTGCAAGCTAATCAAATTAAATCAAAGTTGTCTTCTATCATACTCCGTATTTCACTCGGCAAACAGAAGAGCACAGCGGCCGACGAAGAAAAACACACAACTGGACAACGGCCGATGCTATTTGCAGAAAGAAAATGAGAAATAAGCTTTCACACCAAGATTCAATCAATGGCCGCCCAAATTCAATGATTTTTATCTTCATTCGGAGATATTTTCTGATCCATACCTTCTTTTGCTACTATATAAAGGGGTCATCCAGGAGCTTCAAAGGACACCAAGTAGATAGAAATCATCCTTGTTTCTTTTCTTTAGCTTTGTTTAATAAAAGTGATTCTTTCAAGAACACTTCTGTATGTTTCAGTTCGTAATTCTCATTTTCAGAAGTTTATTTAGCTTTCAATATACTCCATATTAATAATAAAGTTCGTCCAAGAAATTCACATTTGGGTTCGATCAGTGCCAACTTTATACAAGGATTCCAGCTTTTTCTGTTCCAGTTCATCTATGTTCTTCATTATTTATGCCTTCAGGTTCTTATTTAAACACTCACTTTAATTTCTTTAATCTGTTAAGTTAATTATGTCTAGCATGAATTTTTACTTTTATATTGTTCACTATAATTATGTGTAACTAAATTAGTTTAGGCTTGGGCAAGATGTAAATTTTACAGTTAATGTTCATATGATAATAATTGGTTAAAACTTTTACTTGGTTAATTTTAGGGTGTTGGGTTGAATGTTCTAATCTGCTAAATACATTATATTGGGAAACGAAAATTATCACGGGAGTGGAGTTTCATTAAAAATCCCTTTAGTTAATTCACCCACTAAATTGCTACACAGAAGTGTTAAGGAATTTAGGATAATTTGATTTTGTACTTTTTACTGTCTTAATAAAATTACCGCGGGAGCGGAATTAATTTAAGATAGTGTAATCAACTAAGTCGTGGGAACGATTAGAAGATTACCATTTGAAAATCTTTCACACACCTAAAAGTAACCAAGTTAATCAGTTAAATCTTTATTATTATGAACATGATAATAAAATCACTCTTAGCCCAAGCCTAATTTTCACTATATCATTAATTGTTAAATTATCAAGTATTGTGATTTATTTTATTTCCTAGCAATTTCACATTTATAAAAACAAGATAAAAAAATCTGTTCACTTAGCTCCATTGCAAAATGTTATCAATTTGTGATTAGCTAAAAATCAATCATTAATTCTAGTTCTCTTTGTGAGCCATTCTCTAGTGGAACGATACTCACTTACTCTATACTATATCGTTACAAGCCAATTAAAACATCATTTCCATTCACATTTTTACACCATTTCACACTACATTTTTTGGCCTGTCACGATTTTGGCGCCGTTGCCGGGGAATGACATAGTTTTATTGATTGATTATTAGTTAATATTCGTGTTTGTTTTTATTTATTTGGAGACTAAGTGTTTTTATTTCCTGTTATCATCACTTGTTTTTAGTTTCCAATTGTAAAAAAAAAAGTAGTGTATGCATACTCGCTCTCAAGGGAGTGAAGGATTGCAACCACTTAACCTTGATTTTGAAAAAGAATTAAGGAAAAGAAGAAAGGCCCAAATCCTTGAACTTAAAATTCCAAATCAGATCATGGAGGACCTTCACAACAATCCCAATAATCCAAATAGCCAAAACCAAATTTCAAATCCAAATCCAAATCCAAATCCTACGCCACCACAAAATACCCCTATAAATACACCCATTGATACTCCTAGAGATAGACATAATCCTTTCTTTGGAGATCAAAGACCCCCTGGATTTGAAAATTTCCAACAAATTCCTCCTCTAACACAACCCAACCCTTATCCACCACATCCCTACCAAAACTACCAAATTCACCAAAACCAACCTCCACCATATCCATACACATACCCTTATCCTTACCCACCTCCTCCATTTATGCACCCATATCAACCTCACCCATATGGCCAATACTACCAACACCCACAAAATCAACAAGGTCAAGGGCAATACATAAGACAACAACAACAGGGCAGAAGACTTCTTGATTATGTTGCAGGTGAAATTGAGGAACAAGATAGCATTCTCTATCCAGGTGTGGATGCAGCAAATTTTGAGATCAAACCAGCACTTATCTCATTGGTATCGGCCAACAAATTTGGCGGATCTAAGAATGAAGATCCAACGAGCCATGTGAAACAGTTTTTGAGAGTTCTCCAAACTCTTAAACTAAATGGAGCCTCTGTTGATGCCATCAGACTCAGATTGTTCCCATTCTCACTGAGGGATGAAGCATTGAGTTGGTTGAACTCTAAACCATCCGGTTATTTCAACACATGGGAGAAGTTGCATAGAGATTTCATGAAGGAGTTCTATCCTCCTTCTAAGGCATCAAAAATGAAGAAACTGATCCAACAATTCAGACAACAACCATCAGAATCTCTTTATGAATCATGGAAGAGATTTAAAGATCTTCAAGTTCAATATCCACATCATAATATGAGCGTGGGTGATCTCATTGTCTCATTTTATGAGGGATTACAAGATAATTCCAAAATTGTTGTTGATGCCTCTGCTAATGGAGCTTTCATGGAGCTTGATCCCGAAACAGGCAAAGAGATGCTTGAAAAAATTTGCAACAACAGTGCATCATGGTATTCTGAAAGATCCACTCAAAAGCTAGGAGCAGGAATTTATGAGGTTGACCAAACAACAGCTTTAACAGCAAAGGTTGATTCTCTCACAACCATGGTTCAAAAGCTCACTGAGAAGCAATCATCATCAACTTCTAGCGCAGCAACAAATCCATCATCATCTGTAGCTCAAGCTTTGTTCTGTGAACTCTGTGGGGGAGGGCATTCTTTTAAAGAATGTAATTTTCTTGAACTTACACAAAATGTTCCTTTTAGCCCCACAGTAGAACAAGCTGATGCTATATATGGTAGACCTCAAGTACCATATCAAGGAAACTATAATCCTCAAGGGAAGACACATCCAGGATTTTCATGGAGTAATTCATCAGGTGCAGCAAATCCATCTTTTCCATCCAAACCAACACCTCCTGGATTTCAAAATCAGCAAGGATTCAGAGGAAACCAAAACAACCAACAATTGAGGGGAAATCAAGGGTACCAAAATCCTCAAGGTTATCCACCGCAACAACAATTGCCACCACCACCACAACAACAATTCGTTGGAGTTAATGATTTCCAACAGATGATGCAAGGAATTACTAATCAATTCTCTCAACTCACAACTCAACTCAATCAAATTCAAGCTCACAACAAAATGTTAGAGAGCCAAATTGCTAGTTTTGCTTCACCATCAACTAGCAAAGCTCAAGGAAAGTTGCCTGCCTACTCTGAACATCCCAAGGAGAATGTCAATGCAGTCACTACAAGGAGTGGAAAACAACTTTCTGATCCACCACTTATAGTTGAGAAAGAAAAGATTCCTGAAAAGGAGGCTTCACCATCAAAGGAAAATAATGAAGAAGATCTTACTTCTTCTGCAAATGAAGGTTTAAAAAAGGTAGTGCAACCATATGCTCCACCTTTACCATTTCCTCACAGAGCAAAGAAGAACACAATTGATGAGAGGAGGGATAAATTCCTTAAATGGATCGGTGAGTTGAACACAACAATCCCGCTTCTTGATGCTCTAAAACATATGCCTTCATATTCCAAATTTCTGAAGGAAATTCTGTCAAACAAAAAGAAGTTCGAGGAGAAAGCTACAATAGCCATGAGCGAGGGATCCAGTGCTATCATTCAGAAGAAACTTCCAGAAAAATTGAAGGATCCAGGTAGCTTTACTATACCATGCATAATTGGAGGGTTCATGGTCAACAAAGCTTTATGCGACCTTGGGGCTAGTGTTAGCCTTATCCCTTATTCTATGAGCAAGCGCCTTAGTCTTGGTATTCCCAAGGCTACTTCAATGACCATTCAGCTTGCTGACCGATCTGTTAAGCACCCTGTTGGTGTTCTTGAAGACATTCCTGTACAGGTTGGGAAATATTTCATCCCTTGTGACTTTGTCGTCCTAGACATGGATGAAGATGAACGAGTACCTGTCATATTGGGAAGACCTTTCTTGGCCACTGCTGGTGCCATCATTGATGTTAAAAAAGGTACGTTAATAATTGAAGTGGGGGATGAAAGGGTTGAATTCAATATTTTCCAAATGGCGAGAAATCCTGCATGTGTGGAAGATTGTTGGAGGGTTGATATAGTTGATGAATGTGTGAGAGACTTCATGGGATTCTTTCACAATGATCCTATGGAAGTTTATGATGTGGAGGAAATTGAAAATAATCATGAGGGAGAAGAGTTAGTTGAGTGTGTAAAAAACAAAGAGAGTTGTAAAAAGAATCATGAGGGGAAGGAAGTGGAGAAACTTGTGAGAGAAGAATTGAGGGAGGCTAACAACACAAAAGAACCACCCACAGTTGAGTTGAAGCCTTTACCATCACACCTAAGATATGCTTATCTTGGTGAAAACTCTACTTACCCAGTGATAATTAGCACTAAGTTGAACGAGGAGGAAGTAGACAAGTTGTTGACCCTGCTGAGAAAACACAAACGGATCATTGGATACTCCATTGATGATCTAATTGGCATCAGTGCTAACTATTGTATGCACAGAATATATCTTGAAGAAGGTTGCAAACCAGTGGTTGAACATCAAAGGAGGCTCAACCCTAACATGAAGGATGTTGTGAAGAAAGAAGTTATCAAACTTCTTGATGCCGGAATCATTTACCCTATCTCGGACAGCAGATGGGTAAGTCCAATCCATGTTGTACCAAAGAAAGGAGGTTTCACAGTTGTTCCTAATGAGCACAATGAGCTCATTCCTACTCGTTTGGTCACGGGATGGAGAATGTGCATCGATTACAGGAAACTGAACAAAGTCACAAATAAGGATCATTATCCTTTACCTTTCATAGATCAGTTGCTTGAAAGGATGGCAAACCATAGCCATTATTGCTTTCTAGATGGATTCTCAGGATATTTTCAAATCATGATCCATCCAGATGATCAAGAAAAGACTACCTTCACGTGTGCCTATGGTACATTTGCTTTTCGAAGAATGTCATTTGGCCTATGTAATGCACCCGGAACATTCCAACGGTGTATGATGGCCATATTCTCAGATCTTATTGAAGAAATCATGGAGGTATTCATGGATGATTTCTCTGTTTATGGGACCTCATTTGGTTCTTGCTTGGATAATCTTGATAAAGCACTGACTCGTTGCCAAGAGGCAAATCTTGTTCTAAACTGGGAGAAGTGTCATTTCATGGTAACAGAGGGAATTGTTCTTGGTCATAAGATTTCATCTAAAGGCATTGAAGTGGATCCAGCAAAGATCGAGGTGATCGAGAAGTTACCACCGCCAACATCTGTTAAAGGCATCCGAAGTTTTCTAGGGCACGCCGGATTCTATCGGCGATTCATCAAGGATTTTGCTAATATTGCAAAACCACTTACGAGACTCCTGTCCAAAGAGGTTGAGTTTATCTTTGACGATGCTTGTCTTAATTCCTTTTGCAAAATTAAGAAAGCATTATGTTCTGCACCTGTCATTCAACCACCAAATTGGAGCATGCCTTTCATCCTAATGTGCGATGCCAGTGACTATGCTGTAGGAGCCATGTTGGGACAGAAACAAGGCCGGTGCATACATGCAATTTATTATGCAAGCCATACTCTCGATGATGCCCAACAAAACTATGCCACAACAGAAAAAGAACTACTCGCTGTTGTCTTTGCCATAGAGAAGTTCAGGTCATATCTTGTTGGAAGCAAAGTGATAGTTTACACTGATCACTCAGCTCTAAAGTACCTATTTGCGAAGAAGGAGGCCAAGCCACGACTTATTAGATGGGTGTTGCTACTACAGGAGTTTGATATTGAGATCCTTGACAAAAAAGGGTCTGAAAATGTCATTGCTGATCACCTGTCCAGAATTGAGCCACACACAGAAAATGAAACAGCCACAGTATTACCCATTGATGATTCATTGACGGGAGAATATTTGCTCTCTATCAAGCACTTTTCTCCTTGGTATGCTGATTGGGTTAATTACCTTGTCAGTGGTTATATTCCTTCTGAATTCTCATGGTCCCAAAAGAAAAAGTTCTTACATGATGCTCACTCTTATTTTTGGGATGAACCACTATTATTCAAGAGATGTGCTGATGGAATTGTTCGAAGATGCATCCCAGAAGATGAATTTGAGGCTATCCTTTATCATTGTCATTCATCACCATATGGTGGTCATTTCGGATCCACAAGGACTTCAGCAAAAGTCCTACAGTCAGGTTTCTATTGGCCTACATTGTTCAAAGATTCTCAAATGTATGTAAAAAGATGTGATCGATGCCAACGCACAGGATCTATTGGCCGTCGAAATGAAATGCCGCAATCCGGAATACTTGAAGTTGAACTCTTCGATGTATGGGGAATGGACTTTATGGGACCATTTCCCAGCTCATGTGGCAATTCTTACATTCTTGTGGCTGTGGACTATGTCTGGAAATGGATTGAAGCGATTGCTAGTCCAACCAATGATTCCAAGGTTGTGGTCCGATTTGTAAAGAAATTTATTTTCTCAAGGTTTGGAGTTCCCAGGGCCTTCATCACAGATAATGGTACACACTTTTGCAATAAACAACTTGAGAAACTTTTGCTCAAGTATGGTGTTAATCACAAAGTGTCTACTCCGTACCATGCACAAACTAGTGGCCAAGTTGAACTCTCAAATAGGGAAATTAAATCAGTCCTTGAGAAAGTTGTCAATCCCACAAGGAAAGATTGGTCCCTCCGATTAGATGATGCTTTATGGGCCTATCGTACTGCATATAAGACTCCCATTGGGACATCGCCGTTCAAATTGGTGTATGGGAAGTCTTGTCACTTACCAGTGGAGATTGAACACAAAGCATTTTGGGCTATCCAAAGCCTAAACCTTGACTACACTTTGGCAGGGAAAAAGAGGCTATTACAATTGAATGAACTTGAAGAATTCAGACTTGATGCCTTTGAGAATGCCCGACTTTACAAGGAAAGAGCAAAGAAATGGCATGACGGAAGAATCCTTAGGAGAGACTTTTCTCCTGGGGATAGTGTGCTACTATTCAACTCAAGGCTGAAACTCTTTCCAGGAAAGCTGAAATCAAAATGGTCTGGACCTTTCAAAGTTATCAAAGCCTTTCCATCTGGGGCAATCATTCTGGAGGCCAATGATGGGAGACAATTCACTGTCAATGGCCAAAGAGTTAAGCAATACCATGAAGGTGATGACACAAAGGAGAAACTCACTGTTCATCTGGATGATCCTCCTTACGAGTAAACCACCCAGGTAATGTCGGGCACACGACGTTAAAAATAGCGCTTCTTGGGAGGCAACCCAAGCTTATTTACTTGCATTTGAATGTGTGTTTTGCTTGTGTGTTTGCATTGAATAATTTTATTTTCCCACCCATTTACTCATCCACCTTGTATATATTTGTCACATCGAGGACGATGTTTCATCCTAAGTGTGGGGGAAGAATATGCATGTTTGTTTGTTTGTGAATTGCCTTATCATCAGTATAACGTTCAAATCATGCATTCTATTCTTTCACATGGTATGTGGATTGTTGGCTGGACTTGTCTCTTAATAATTGGATTTAGAATTATAATTTTTGAGCATTGAGTAAAATTTTGGTCAAATTTTAAACTTTTTACAAACACAAAACATCTCATGCACGTAAATGGTTATCTAGTGAATTGTTGTTCAATATGTTTAAAATTGTGCAAAACAAGAGTGCTATGTGCTTTTATTTTCCTTGACATGATTTTCTGACTCAGCACATTAGGAAATGATATAGGCCATTTTTCATAAACCCATATACCTAGCCTTACCCATGTGATTAATATCCCTTGTTCACCCCCTTTGAGCCATTTTTTTAATAAGCGTTATACGCTTAACCCTGCTTTTCTTATTTTCTTTCATAAAAACCTGTTATATGTGACCCTTAGCCTAAAAGCCAAACACTTTCCAACCACCCCAAAATGACTTGCATAAATTTTAATGAGTTTAGAGAGTGTCATTCACATTTAGGGAGCTTTAATAATTACATTTTTGTGATTACATAGTTGTTAATATTCATTTATGGGGGTAGTTGTTCTTGTTGTATTATCATTGTACATATTATTCTTGTAAATTCTTATGTTTAGAAGCACTAAAAAGCCTTGAAAAAAAACAAAAAATCAAAAAAAAAAAAAACAAAAAAAAACGAGAAAAAAAAAAACAAAAAAAAAACAGAAAAAAAGGAAAATGAAAAAAAAAAAGAAAAAAAAATCTAAACAAGGCTAATTATCCATGTATATGCTTCTCTCTTTTGTATATATTTTTTTTGTACATTAATTTACTCTTTTTACTAGTTACTAGTTTACTACCCCTAACTGTTAAAAAATAACAAGTGTTGTATAGATTATTGTCAAAAGCTCCTACTCATTACTTAGTACCTCTCTAAATTTGTTAAATTTATGTCAAGTACATTTCTTAATTCCCTTTGTTCATAAGCCTATCCCACAGACCCCATTATAACCCAATGTTAAAAGTCCTAATTGATCCTAATTGTGTTTTGTCTGAAATAAGTTGATAGGAGAATCTTATTTTGCATAATTTTGCATGGTTGAACAAACGAAGCTAGATTCCATTTTCACACCACACACTTTGTGTTTGTTAGAGTTGAGATTTGACCAAAACGTTTCAAATGATATGCAAAATATTTTTATGATTCTCACTTCTCTTATTTTGTGACAAGTCAAGGGAATTTGATTGACCAGGTGGAGTGAAAGTAAAGTGTGCATGATTTGAGGATTACACATATGATTGGGCAATTCATTTTTGCATGCTCGTTTGCTTGTGTGAAATGTAAATATTTTTGCTTGAGGACAAGCAAAATCTCAAGTATGGGGGAGTTGATGTACTCCTAATTTACCATATTTATGATCTTGTTTTGTCACACTTTTAATACTTTATTTCTCATTTTTAAATAAATAGGATTGATCTTTGTCATCTTGGACATTTTAAGGTATTGCACTTGTTTTGGTATATTTTTGAGTTTCAGGATAATTCGGGACGTATATTAATTTCTGAAAAGAAATAAATATTACTCCCAAGTGAAGACGGAAAAATCATCAAAGTGAAGCGAGTCCTTACTTTATCTCCGAAATATTTATACAGAGACCCGAAGTTCATTTCAGAATAAACCAGACTGTCTACAATAAAATGTACCGGTTAACTATTTGACCAGTTAACTGATCAAACAGCTAACCGGCCAAAATAATCAAGTGGCGGAAGTGGAGCCAAAACTTGGATGACAAAATTATTCACACATTTGTGAATAATGAAGGCTGCCACGTATGAACAGCTCTCAACAAGAAGGAAAGAAATAAACCCATGTATTGAATTATTGGAGAGGGCCTACGAACTGCAAGCTAATCAAATTAAATCAAAGTTGTCTTCTATCATACTCCGTATTTCACTCGGCAAACAGAAGAGCACAGCGGCCGACGAAGAAAAACACACAACTGGACAACGGCCGATGCTATTTGCAGAAAGAAAATGAGAAATAAGCTTTCACACCAAGATTCAATCAATGGCCGCCCAAATTCAATGATTTTTATCTTCATTCGGAGATATTTTCTGATCCATACCTTCTTTTGCTACTATATAAAGGGGTCATCCAGGAGCTTCAAAGGACACCAAGTAGATAGAAATCATCCTTGTTTCTTTTCTTTAGCTTTGTTTAATAAAAGTGATTCTTTCAAGAACACTTCTGTATGTTTCAGTTCGTAATTCTCATTTTCAGAAGTTTATTTAGCTTTCAATATACTCCATATTAATAATAAAGTTCGTCCAAGAAATTCACATTTGGGTTCGATCAGTGCCAACTTTATACAAGGATTCCAGCTTTTTCTGTTCCAGTTCATCTATGTTCTTCATTATTTATGCCTTCAGGTTCTTATTTAAACACTCACTTTAATTTCTTTAATCTGTTAAGTTAATTATGTCTAGCATGAATTTTTACTTTTATATTGTTCACTATAATTATGTGTAACTAAATTAGTTTAGGCTTGGGCAAGATGTAAATTTTACAGTTAATGTTCATATGATAATAATTGGTTAAAACTTTTACTTGGTTAATTTTAGGGTGTTGGGTTGAATGTTCTAATCTGCTAAATACATTATATTGGGAAACGAAAATTATCACGGGAGTGGAGTTTCATTAAAAATCCCTTTAGTTAATTCACCCACTAAATTGCTACACAGAAGTGTTAAGGAATTTAGGATAATTTGATTTTGTACTTTTTACTGTCTTAATAAAATTACCGCGGGAGCGGAATTAATTTAAGATAGTGTAATCAACTAAGTCGTGGGAACGATTAGAAGATTACCATTTGAAAATCTTTCACACACCTAAAAGTAACCAAGTTAATCAGTTAAATCTTTATTATTATGAACATGATAATAAAATCACTCTTAGCCCAAGCCTAATTTTCACTATATCATTAATTGTTAAATTATCAAGTATTGTGATTTATTTTATTTCCTAGCAATTTCACATTTATAAAAACAAGATAAAAAAATCTGTTCACTTAGCTCCATTGCAAAATGTTATCAATTTGTGATTAGCTAAAAATCAATCATTAATTCTAGTTCTCTTTGTGAGCCATTCTCTAGTGGAACGATACTCACTTACTCTATACTATATCGTTACAAGCCAATTAAAACATCATTTCCATTCACATTTTTACACCATTTCACACTACATTTTTTGGCCTGTCAACAAGCCATAAGGAACAAAAGAGATTGCTACAAAAAGCTGGGGACAAGTCGAAATGATGAGAACATAGAAGCATACAAGGAGGCTAGAAGACAAGCAAAGAAAGCCATAAAGGAAGCACAAGGGAAAGTGAACAAGGAGTTGTATGAAAAATTGGACTCTAAGGAAGGAGAACAAGATATCTATAGACTTGCTCATCTTCATGATCGCGGGACTCAAGGTATCGAAAAACTTAAGTGTGTGAAGGATATCGATCAAAAGATATTAATGGAGAATAGAGAGATAAAAGAGAGGCGGAGGTCATACTTTGATACATTGTTCAACAGGAACAAAGTGCAAGATATCGGTGATTTGACCATACCGGATTGTATGGTAAATCGTGATTTTGTGAGAAGGATCCAACCAACGGAAGTTAAAGAGGCTCTGAGGAAGATGGGGCGGAAGAAAGTAGTGGGTCCAGATGACATACCGATCGAGGCTTTGAGAAGTTTGGGAGAGAGAGGCATCAGGTGGTTAACAAATTTCTTCAACAAGATTTGGAGAAACAACAAGATGCCAACGAGTTGGAGAAAGAGTACTCTTATTCCCTTATTTAAGAATAAAGGTGATGTACAAGAATGTGCCAACTATCGAGGGATTAAGCTTATGAGTCATACCATGAAACTTTGGAAGCGAGTGATTGAGCAAAGACTTCGAAGAACGGTGAAGATTTCAGAGAATCAATTCGGTTTTATGCCTGGTTGCTCAACAACTGAAGCTATTCACCTTCTTCGGCAACTTATGGAGAAGTATAACGCTCACAAAGATTTGCATTTAGTGTTCATTGACTTAGAAAAGTCATATGATGGGGTACCTTGGGAAGTTCTTTGGTGGGCCTTAACTAGACAAGGTATTTCATGCAAGTATATCAGCATCATCATGGATATGTATGAGGATTGTACTACAAGTGTCCGTACTAGTGTAGGGAGGACTGCAGAGTTCCCTATTACTATCGGAGTGCACCAAGGATCGGCTCTGAGCCCTTTTTATTTGCCATAATCATGGATGAACTTACAAAGTCAATTCAAGACGATATACCGTGGTGCATGATGTTTGCCGACAATATTGTTTTGATTGATGAGACGCAATCAGGGGTTAAAGCAAAGTTGGAAATATGGCGACAAACAGTGGAGAACAAGGGTTTCAGACTAAGTACGAGCAAGACAGAGTACATGGAGTGCAAGTTTGGTGGAGGTAGAAGCAGCGGTAATAACGGAATTACTTTAGATGGTAAGGAGATACCGGTCAACGACATGTTCCGTTACTTGAGCTCCATAATTCAGAAGGACGGTGAGTTAGATAGAGATCAGATGTATCCCATAGAATCAGAACAGGGTGGATAAAGTGGAAGAGTGCGTCAGGATTTCTATGTGATCGAGGTATGCCGACTAGACTGAAGGGTAAATTTTATAGGACAACAATTAGGCATGCATTACTGTATGGCACGAAGTGTTGGGCGGTGAAACAATGTCACATTCAAAAGATGAGTGTGGCAGAGATGCGCATGTTGCGTTGGATGTGTGGGCATACTAGAAAGGACCGCGTGAGGAATGAGACAATCAGACAAAGGGTGGGAGTAACACTTATTGAAGATAAGATGCGGGAGTCGCTGTAACACCCCCAAATTTCCCACCCAAAAACACTTTGAATAATACTTTATTATTAATTTATTTGAAAACATCAGAGTTTTGCAGCGGAAATCAAAAGGGAAATAGGGGCGTTACCGCCGCACTCGGCTCTATCCTAACCGAGTGCACAGGCTAATCACCACAAAAATAATTAAACTCAATAAGTGTCTTAAATAATAAATTAAACTACAATGTTATCTACTAATTACATTTTCTCTAGCGGAAGCTCTCTCGAAATCAAAATCATCAGCAAAGCATTACCTGTACAAATTCAAGTACAGAAAGAAAAAAAATAAAAGAAAACAAAAATTAGCAACAATGCTAAGTAAGTTCCACCTAACCCCATAAAATAATATAATTTAATATTTTTGTAAAAAAAAAAACATTTGGGAGGAAAAATATTTTTAAAACAATTTGTAAAATCTTCTCATAACATCATTCACTAATAAAATAACAGTACTTCAAATATAAGTAAATATTTCCAAACCACAAGAATTACAAAATACCAAATATACATAAAGTACCAAAAAGCATTCTCAAAATACTTCCAAACACTCATAATCAATATTAGCATAATCAAACCGAATTAAATCCAAAAGTATTTGTACTTTGAAATTCCACAATAATTCGATAATTCAATCCAACTCAAATTCAATCCCATAATCCAACAACTCAAATCCAATCCAAACAAATATAATTCTCCTCAAAACCTCAAAACATCAATCCAAATATAATTTGCACTCCTAATACATTTGAAGGGCGGTGCTCAACATTTTATTGAGCCTGATGGTTCGTTGTTATGTACGGCCACCCCGGGACTTTTGCCGGTACCACTTCTAACCTGAGGAAACTGAACCTCTACCTTAAGTGTGCACACCCCCTGAAAGGGATTCCAAGTCCTACGGGTAGTAAGAAGCCCAAGTAGTTCGGACGTCAAAGTCCCCCTACTCCACCAAAAAGGAATTACCCTATAGAAGTGACTAGGTTACTGCTACTACTGCCAAAATCCACCAAATATCTATCGTTCGGGATTTTTCTACCGAACGCACCAAACTCATTCATTTAAACTGTTCGGATTGGTTACCGAACCCACCAAGCAAATAGTAGCATCTCTAATCACTCTCCACAGTCAAGGTCGTGGAGAACACCGACACCGTGGATTTCTCCCGCGATGCCCTTACATTGAAAGGTTCTTTTTATTTTGATTATTTTTCGAAAATTCTATATCTATTATTCATAGTTATAGTTTTAGAATAAGGATTATTATCCTTGGATTTCAAAACACAATTTCACCATGTAGTTCAAAATATCTTGATCTCTAATAGCTTTCAAAATCTCATATTATACATAGATATAAATTTCCAAAACAAGAGTTGATTGATCCTTTAAACTCGAAATTTCCCGACATGATCAAAATATAGAATACTTTATAAATAGATCAAATTTCAATCCCAATAATGATTCATACATAACTTCAAATACTCAAAAATATCACCCAATATTCAATACTCAAATCACAAATATAATCCTCAATAACAATCCATAAATAATTCTAAATACTCGAATACGAAGTATAAATGTAAATGCTAGAATCTCACAAAGTACTCAAATAATTTCAAATAAATAGTCATATATAAATTTATGAGGAAAAGTGTAATGTTGGTTGACGTAGAACTTATCTCAAACTCCAAGTACTCTCTAGTCAATTCTCCTACTTTGCTCCTCACAAAGAATCGCCTTCTATTAAAATTTAGAAATCAATATCTTATCAACTTAGTAAAATTCCTCTTATAATTTTATCACTTTAAACTAATAATCCATCTAATTCATTGTAATCTATTTTATTTATAGTGTATCCACTAATTTTAAGTTTACTCACAATTATTCATTTATACCAATCGATCAATTAAATCAGCTCATGACTTCATTTTAAATCCATGTAATTATTTGACTAGTGTGCTTTATTAGATGGTCCATAAGATGACAAGAGTAGTGTCAATTTAGTTGGTCCATTCTAATCTAGCAACCTGGTCCAGTTTATTTTATTATTTTAACTCAATTCGTATTTGTCCAAATAATCCCCAATGGTATAATTTATGTCAAATAAACGGCAGAGCATACATACGCATCAAAGATCGTCTTCTTCATGCATAGCTCCCAGTCGGCATCGACTCTACCCTCCAACGGTGGTGGCGGTGTCTCAGCGGCAGCAGTCAGTTCCGTCGGCAGCAGGTCGAACACCTCCACCGATCCTTCTTAATTCTCCGGCGACAATTGAACGGTACTCTGGGGGTTCTTCTGTTCCGGCGTAGTTCGTATCATCTTCTCCGGCCATGCGCAGTTCTGGGTGGAGAAGAAAGTCCGGTGTAGGTTCTGCAACGTAACCCCGGCGTTCGTTCCTTCTCTTCCGGCGTACGTAACGCTCAATGGTAGGACGTACTTAAGTCCGTGCAACAGCAGTTCGGTCCGGCGATGATAACGGCAGCTAGATCCGTCTTGAAACGCAGTCCGCCAACCCTGGGACGTTGACCTTTCTGTCATCTTTCTCGCTCTCTTTTCGTTTCTCCCTTCGCAGGACGTAACTCGTGTACGACACGTTTTAAAAGTTTGGCTTCATATGTATATTGGTTGTATAGTACGCTGTACACAAGTTTTCGATCGTAAAGAGGTATATATATACACTAATACACGTAGACAAGAAGGTTCTAGCTTTTAGGGTTTTGTGCGTTTCATATCATGTACTACCTCCGTTCTTAAATATGTGCAACATACCAAATTTTACACTATTCACATGTTCTATTTTGACTACATTTTATTTATTAATGTATTAATATATATTTTTGAAAAAAAATATTACTAAATTTGTCTCATTGTAAATTTTCAAAATCTATTTTTTTAAATTTTTTTACTAATAGAGATTTATAGATATTAATAGTCAAAGTTGTGTCTCGACAAATGTGAAATGTTGACCGTTGCACATGGGAAGTACATGTGAAACTGAGCCGGTGCATATGTATAGATCGCATATACAACTAAAAGTCTGGTCGGCCCAAAATTCCTATACCCAATTAATTACGCATGGGTTTACACATGAGTATTATATTGGTCCTATTGGAAAGTCAAAATTTTACACTATTATTATTATTAGGGATAAGGTCCAAAAATGACACTGAGGTTTCTCATGAAGTTCAGATTGGACACTTAAATTTTAAGTAGACCAAATAAACACAAATTTAAACTTTTTGGTTCCATTTCAGCCACCCTTTTAACGTCTCCGTTAAATGATCTTCCCTGTGGTTAGTGCCATTTCGATTAAAAAACACAGCCCCTATGTATGAAAACAAAGTTCATGTGAGTAGATCCAGTCACATAAGACTCTCCCACTTCTCTCTAAAAGTCCGGCATACACAAGACGAGGGGATAATCACTGATAGTGTCGCACGCACAGTCGAGTATCGGTTTGGAATCCCCCAGACTAAACTATAAAAATGGGGGAAGGGTATCAAGCGGAAAAACATGTTCATCCTGGGATGCTCGAAATCGAAGGCATGGGATTGATAATTCCGGTCTTCCGGACGACACCGACGGACAGAGTCCTCATCGCCGGTAGCTCCAGCAGCTCCAGAGACAGGCCCTTCGTGTGACTGCCTCTCAAACGAACCGAACGGCGGAAATTGTTCCTTGGGAAACGCTACAAAGGTGTAACCAGAGTGGCATGGACGATTGCTGGAACAAAGGCGTTGGAGATTATTTCTGGAAACATCAATTTCTTTTTCTTTTTCTTTTACGAGGAACATAAATTTCTTAGTAACAATGAAGCAACATGGGAGAGGACAACAGAAATGGTGCACAAGACTAAGAATCAGCGAGAACACGGTGATGAGAACTCATGTAAGTGCGCGACGGCCTGACAGTGGTGCGATGACGGGTCTTCTGGTCATGAAATTTGGAGTCCGAAGGGTTCCCGGCTTGAGAGCGTGTGGTGGCCTGGGCAGGTCGGGATTGAGACACCGGATAAAGGGGTTTTCCGATTCTGGTCGTGCTTTCTAGCGGCATCCAAAGGAACAAAATGACGGAGGAGTTAAGGGTGGCTGAAATGCAACCAAAAAGATTAAATTTGTGTTTATTTGGTCTATTTGAAACTTTAGTGTCCAATCTGAATTTCATTAAAAACATTGATGTCATTTTTGGTCCTTTTCCCTTATTATTATATCGTTGTAAGTAGTGTATGTATACTCCGTATCATATATATTAGGTGTGTCTTATATAGGTGTGCTATAAGCATATGTATATATTATTTCTCTAATAATCTTTCAAAATGTCACTCTTATTATATGTCAAAGTTTTATTTGATCTCATTAATATTATTATTATTTTATTTTATTTAAATTTTTGGAGTGTCACAGTCGCGCCTACGGTGGTTTGGTCATGTGCATAGAAGACCGAGTGATGCACCTGTCAGACAAGTTGAGATGTGTGGAGAAGAGGCAGTGAAGAGAGGGAGAGGAAGACCCAAAGAGACGTGAGTTAGGGGAGTCAGAAATGATATGCTTCTTCTTGGATTGGATGAGAGTATGGCTTTGGAAAGAACAAAATGGAGGACGGGTATTCGTGTGGAGGAGTGATCTTGTATCATCTTTTCCCTTTTTTTAAATATATTTTTATCCTTATATATAAATATTACTTTATCCTTTTTATTTGATCTTTTATATGTATATGCATCTCTTTTATATTATCGTTTTTATAATAGCTTATCTTTTTTATCTTTATTTTCTTTCTTTTCTTTTTGGTGATATCATGTATCGATTTATGTTAGCTGACCCCGATATCGTTTGGGACTAAGGCTTGAATGTTGTTGTTGTTGTATTAGTAAACATTATAAAAAGTTGATACTTTGGAAATTCACATTAATAGGAATTCAATAACATTTCATACGTAATAATATGCTTATTTATATTAGTAGAAAATCGTGGTCAAAGTAAGGTCTGTGAATAGTGCAAAAATCACAATGTTGCAATCAGGGCCGATCCCGACATATAGAGGACCCTGTGCATAATAAAACTAAGGGCCTTAATATACTATACAAAGAATAATATTTTATATATTAAAAAGCAATTTGAAATTTTATAATACTAACTTTGTCCTAAATTGTTTTGCAAAGTAACACTTTTTTAGTCAAATAATTAATTCAATTTTTTTTAGTAATCTCTATATTGATAATTAATTCAAATTTAATAATTAAAGTTTATATATTCAGAAACTACATTAAATTAAATTAATTAAAATTTAATTAAGAATTGATATAATAATTAAGTGAACAAAAGTAATCCGTTTGAATAAAAAAATCAATTTTACAACTCGATTTAAGATAGAGGGAGTAATAGTCATACTTAAATAGAATTCTGCTCATAGCAGTAACTTTCCAGGTTCATAAATATTTCCTTATTTTTGGAGGCACTATAACCTTATAAAATGAAAGAGAAATCAGGCAATGATATATCCAAATTTAAAAACAGTGAGGAAAACATTTGAAAAAAGAAGCAATTAAGTTGAACCGTTTGACTATCAGGAGATTAAAGGAAGACTAAAGAATTCTCAATATCGAATGAAGTTAGTGCCGTTGATAGCATTTCTAAATAATACTCCGTATTTGAGATTAAAAACCCTAACATTATTAATTGCGGAGTATATCTTTCGCAATTTGCAGCATTTCTAAAAGCCTCCTCGAGAATTGTTGATGTTGCTTCGATTCTCTCTTATGCCTCCTCGATAATTTAATGCTCCGTAGTCCGTACTCCGTAGAACTCAATACCGTATGTTGAAGCATAAAGTGGGGCAAGCTTGGTTAAATAGGGCTGGATTTTTTCTAATGGGCCTATTATATATGCTATGCTAATAAACATGAGGCCCTCTTGAAAATGGGGCCCTGTGCAGTTGCACTTGCTGCACATGGGCTGGGCCGGCCCTGGTTGCAATAATTAAAGAACAGAGAAAGTATAAAATAGGCACTAACTTTATTCATGAATGAACTAACTATCATGCATGTCGCCGTGTCGCGCACAATCCTAAGTTCATTATCCATGAGTGCATATATATAATACTTTAAGTTGTAGTAATAACTGCATGTCATGCAATTATTCCAAAGCAATAACTAACAATGGCCTACTTTAAGTTGCTTGCTGCTTTGGCTTTCTTCATTGCAACTTCATATATGTACCTTTACTTTAATTGTTCTTTTGTCAATAAGAAATTATAGAATACGTGATAGATACATAGGTCATATATATATACAAATATGGTTAATATTTCCAGCACCAACAAATATCTCTTATTCTCTCATAAGAAGAAAAAGAAGTAATTAATATAAGTCTTTATTGTTGGAGTGTAAGAGTACTAATTTATGGAAAACGACTCATAGTATTATTTGAACAAACTGAATATATTTTAGAGCTATATAGATTTTATCTTTTCCTTTTTTTATTATTTATTTTTGGTACTCTTTGTTATGTTTATTTAACTATGAAGCATAATGACACATCAAATTTATATGTATATTTTAATTACATACTACGTATATATGAATACACACACATGTACACACACAAAAATAGGATCGAAAGAGAATGCAATTTAATGAAAGAAATGATGATTTTAAGTTTAGTGCGTTACATTTAAGAATGACAAGTTGTCAAATGTGCACACGATTATAACCGGCATTATTTGAGAAAAAATGGCATTATTTGAGAAAAATGAGCTAAAGAAACTAAACTTTTCTGCCCCCACACATTGGGCATTATTGTAACAAATAAATATGTGCACCACGAGAGAATGTGTAATGTTTTTACACCATTCACATTTCTCAAGAAAGCAAACATTATCATCACATACAGACATGTATATGTTATTACGATTTTGGTGAGAATTATTTTTCCCGTGAAAATCCATAAATTTTAAGTTTAAATTCACTAGTTCTTAAGCAAAATAGTTTTTATTGATTTTCCAAAGATGTTCTTTGTCAAAGGTATGATATATAAAATTAATAATTAAGTACATTTCTTTGTCAAAAAATGATTGCATATTTATGTTTCACATAATGTACAATGCTCAAATCTAACGTTTTTTATAAGATGGTTTTTTCATTTCTTATTCATACACAAAGCACATATATACTCCCTACATCCCGCAAATTACATTCCTAGTTTAAATTCACGAGTTCTTAAATAATTTTTTTTATATTGATTTTCCATGAATGCTCTATGTCAAAAGTAAGATAGATAAAATTAATAATTAAGTATGTATTTTTTCATAAAGGTAAAAGAGACACTAGAAAAGCCACAAAGAAAAGTGACAACACATAGTATATATACACATACATACTTTGTCTATGCTTATTTGACTTATTAGTTATTACTATGATTGGAAATGAACATGAGCTGATAATTGTAATTTATTTTGTAGATGTCTTAGGGATTGCAAGTGCTTCATGTAATGGGCGTGATGTGTGTTCACCGTTTGAGATGCCACCATGCGGGAATTCTACCAACTGTCGTTGCATCCCTTGGGGGCTGGTTGCTGGTCAGTGCATAACCCCTCGACTAGCGTCTGTTGCTAAGAGGATCGAAGACCATCCAAACTTATGCCAGTCCAATGAAGAATGCTTCAAAAAGGGAAGCGGTGATTTTTGTGGTCGTTACCCTAATCCTCACATCGACTATGGATGGTGTATCAACTCCTCTTACAGTAATAATTATGAGGACTCATCACAAAATGGGTTTTTGAAGATGATGACTACCACTTTATAATTAGGTGACAACTCCGGTATCCTTTTAAAAAATGGGGTACCGTACCTAACATTCATTTGATTGGACCACATCACTTAATCATTTTTAATTTAGATTTAAATAATTTAACTGCAACATTCACATTGGTACATGTGGACAAAGGTATGGTACCTTATGGGTACCATAGAATCTACCTTATAATTAAGTCGCCCCGGTACTAATTATAATTATATGTATCCATCTCTGGCCCATTGATAATAATAATAATAGTCAAATTACATCTTATACGGAGTATATGTATTGGACGTGTACTAGCTAGCTAGCTAGGTGTAATACTAAAGTGAATAAATGGATTTACCTATCAATGATCCGGGCTTAGCTGTTTTTAATTTGTGTTTCCGTATGGGATATACTTCTTATTGTTCAGCAGTAGTCCAATTCAAAAATATTGTATGAGAATAATTTACATGAAATAATTTTTTGTAAATATAAGTTTACTTGATTTGAACATAACATCGACACTTTAAGTTGTTATTCCTATAGATTGTTGGAGCAAGGAATACTATAATCAAAATAAGAAATGTATAAAACATGACATCCACAAATAATTGGGAGGAGGAGATATAAAATAAGAGTCTGTGTTTTCTAATAACATCAAAGTAAGATATATTGCATAAACAAAAATTGAAACAAACTATCTTTAAAAGGAAGGTATAGTAGGATAAGAGAGCATATGCATGCGTATATATATACCTCGTATATGTGTGTGTAGGGGTTAGTTGTAATAAAAAGAGGGCTTAATGAGTGAAATATTTCACACACACTTTTACCAATATTTGTCTCATGTGCAGTGCAATGCACTTTTTGACATTTTGCCAAAAATCATTTATTTACAATAATGCACGATATTTTTGTAAACAACTGATTTTTGGTGATATATCATAAAGTGCACTGCGTTTCATATGAGTGCAAAAAGTAGAGGTAAAAGTGGGTGCGGAAGAATTCACACGCAAGACCCTCTTTTTATTTGATCCTAACCTACTTCTTTTATAAGCATGAATATTGTTAGGGGTATAATTGTCCTAGAAAAAATGTTGGTGTCTATTTGTGCTTTCGGTGATTGCACTCCACGCATATTCAATCCAAGCTTGTATCGGTTATATGGTAAAACTGGGGCCACAAAAGTCAACTTTGCCGTTAAGCTCTGAAGCAACTATATATAGAGTATTGAGATCAATAAATACTACGACGGAGTATTGAGAATTCCCGACCCTCCATGTTCTTCTTTTCCGCTCACAGAGTCCTGCGCTCAACCATGGTTGTCAATAGGTCATTTGGATACTCAACCGTCATCGCCTGCCCTCCTATACATATTTGACACCAGGTATTGAACAGATTTTGGATTTCTTCACGCCAATTTATAAGTTCTCTACTCTCTTTTAATTCATTATATATTTCGTTGATATTCAATTGCAGTTGCTTCTTCGATCTCTATATTTTTTTTTTCGAATTTAAACTGCTGCGTGATTAGTCATTCATTCTTTTGTATTTGTTGTCATGTTGACATCCTCTCGCTTATATTCTTTGTTATCTCTTTGTATTCCTTTATTTTATTTTGGTTGCTATGTGTTTGGTGAAATGTCATGTGAAATTTTGTCATTACACACCAAGGCATACAGTTTTCCATAGTACCCGTTCTATATTTGATTCATTAAAGATGCCAGCTACTATTATAAGTTAGACTTAATGGAGGATAAAAAAAGTGAAATATGTTTCGCCTTGTAATTGTCTCAGTTGCACTTACATTCTAAAAACAAGTAGCTTTAAGTGATTGATCGTGCAATAGGCCCTATGTTGATACGGAGTACCCCGTAGTATATAATATCCCCGTAGACCACGCCAGACTTGAACATACCAGACCAGACCAGACCCGACCCGACCAAACTAGCTTCCATAGTTACCGGACTAGATCAAACTAATTTAGACCATACCAGAATACACCAGACCATACTTAAATAGACCAGACCAGTAAATTTCAGTCCAAGTAAAGAAAATCCTTAGTCATTAATCAGGAAAAACCAAAAGGTATTTTACTAAATTATCCATCCCAATTAGCGGTGACATATTTCATAGTGACCTGACCATCTGATGCCCTAGTGACCTACTGCCAGTGACTTTGGCAACCGGTGACCGCCACCCCAAGTGACCAAATAATGGTGACTACAACCAAAGTGACAGTGACTCTGTATTAAGTGACAACGACTCCGAACATAGTGATCGACCACCCTCCAATGACTAACTGCCAATAACTCTGTCAATAGTGACTCTTTTCTAGTCACATGCATGTCTCCCTCTAAATACCCAGTGACCTTCGGCCCCAGTGACTCCGCCGCCATCATTGATCTTACTGCCGGCAGTTACCACCGCCTCTATGACACACACTCCCCACTCCCCATCCACATGTTCATATCTATTAAGACTCGAGTTCCATCGTAAAGTCAACCTGTTAGGAGTAGCCCGAGACTTTATATGTTGGTTTGTGTTTCTATACGTAACCCGTGTGGGATAGCTTAATACGCCCCGCAAGATGGTGGCTCGTTGGAGCAGACCAATCTTGTAGTCCGTGTGCTCGTTGTTGAGGCTTACCAAGATCTAATTACTCATTGGAGCTTAATTTGCTCTGATACCATGTTAAGACTCGGGATTCCATCCTAAAAGGTCAACCTGTTAGGAGGAGTAGCCCAAGACTTTATATGTTGGTTTGTATTTCTATACATAACCCGTGTGGGACAGCTTAATAATATCCCTCTTCCCAACCGCACCCGCACCCCCTAGCCTCTTTCCCCACCCTCTGCGACAACCCTATCTCGGGTGCAATCATCGACCTAATCGATGACAGAGATGAGGCGGTGAGATGACTTTGGAGGCGAAGGATTGGGCATTGACATAGGTGCAGACGGGTATGGGATAATGTGAATTGCGATGGTGTGCAGATGGGTATGACGAAGGGCGAGATGGTAATTTTGGGTTATCTTTTAGAGGGTATTTCTATCCTTCCATGTTCATTTAGTCACCTTTTTGTCTAGATTAAAATTAAATCTTATTGTGTCCGAAGGAAAGCTGATAGTCTTCCTTCCGTCATTATTTCAACATATAAAGCCTGCTTAAGATGCTCGTAGAATTGAAGTATTTATTTGCATTTAATTACTCCGTAATTAATAAAAAAATGGAAATAAAGTAGATGAAATGAGTCTACTTTTAACTAGGTGGTGCAATATGCATGGAAGAACTAATTAGTGCAAGAACTCATGATGCATAGATGTACACATACATAGAAGGGAAGCAACTAGTGCATGACAAAGAATGTCTATAGTTTCCGTCCCCTCACATTTTTTTGCGGAATATCTCTAAATAAGGTGTTTGAAGGTACATATAAAATAGGCACTCACTTTATTCATGAATGAACTAACTATCATGCATGTCGCGCACAATCCTAAGTTCATTATCCATGAGTGCATATATATACGTGTACGCAATTATTCCAAAGCAATAACTAACAATGGTTTACTTTAAGTTGCTTGCTGCTTTGGCTTTCTTTATCGCAACTTCATGTATGTACCTTTACTTTTATTGTTCTTTTGTCAATAAGAAATTATACGTAGTAGAATACATGATAGATACATAGGTCATATATGCAAATATGGTTAATATCTTGAGCAACAAGTATCTCTTATTCTCTCATAAGAAGGAAAAAAAGTAATTAATAAATCTTTATTGTTAGAGTGTAAGAGTACTAATTTATGGAAAACGACTCATAGATTTATTTGAACAAACTAAATATATTTTAGAGCTACATGCATTTTCTCTTCCCTTTTTATTTATTTATTTTTGGTACTCTTTATTATGTTTATTTAACTATGAAGCATAATTACACATCAAATTTATATCTATATATTATATATATATACATGAATACACACACATGTACACACATAAACAAGATCGAAAGAGAATGCAATCTAATGAGAGAAATGATGATTTTAAGTTTAGTGCATTACATTTAAGAATTGTGAGTTGTCAAATGTGCACACCATATAACCGGCATTATTTGAGAAAAATGTGGTAAAGAAACTAAAGTTTTCTGCCCCCACACATTGGGCATTATTGTAACAAATAAAAATGTGCACCACCATGAATAAGAATGTGTACTGTTTTACATCATTCACATTTCTCAAAAAAGCAAACATTATCATCACATATAGACATGTATATGTTATTACGATTTTGGTGAGAATGATTATTTCCATGAAAATCCATAAATTCCAAGTTTAAATTCACAGTTCTTAAACAAAATAGTTTTTTTTATTGATTTTCCAAATATGTTCTTTGTCAAAATTATGATATATAAAATTAATAATTAAGTACATTTCTTTGTCAAAAAATGATCGCATATTTATGTTTAACATAATGTACAATTCTCAAATTTAACGTTTTCTATTAGATGGGTTTTTCATTTCTAATTCATACACAAAGCACATATATATACTCCCTCCATCCCGCAATTAAATTTCTAGTTTAAATTCACGAGTTCTTAAATAATATTTTTATTATTGATTTTCCAAGAATGCTCTATGTCAAAGATAAATTAATAATTAAGTATGTATTTTTTCGTAAAGGTAAAAGAGACATTAGAAAAGCCACAAAGAAAAGTGAACACACACAGTATATATACACATACATACTTTGTTTATGCTTATTTGACTTATTACTATGATTGGAAATGAACATGAGCTGATAATTGTAATAACTTATTTTGTAGACGTCTTAGGGATTGCAAGTGCTTCATGTAATGGGCGTGATGTGTGTTCACCGTTTGAGATGCCACCATGCGGGGATTCTACCAACTGTCGTTGCATCCCTTGGGGGCTGGTTGCTGGTCAGTGCATAACCCCTCGACTAGCGTCTGTTGCTAAGAGGATCGAAGACCATCCAAACTTATGCCAGTCCAATGAAGAATGCTTCAAAAAGGGAAGCGGTGATTTTTGTGCTCGTTACCCTAATCCTCACATCGACTATGGATGGTGTATCAACTCCTCTTACAGTAATAATTATGAGGACTCATCACAAAATGGTTTTTTGAAGATGATGACTACCACATTATAAATAAATCGCCCAGTACTAATTATAATTACATGAATCCATCTCTGGCCCACTGATAATAATAATAGTAGTCAAATTACATCTTATATTATGTATTGGACATCTAATAGCTAGCTAGCTAGCTAGCTAGCTAGGTGTAATACTCTAAGTG